GCAGAGGTTGCCATCGGAGAGGCTGATGGTGCCCGCTGCCGGCACAGCCTGCCATCGGAGTGGCTGATGGTGCCCGCTGCTGCCGGTAGAGCCTGACATTGGAGTGGCTGATGGTGCCCGCTGCTGCCGGCAGAGCCTGACATCGGAGAGGCTGATGGTGCCCGCTGCCGGCACAGCCTGCCATCGGAGTGGCTGATGGTGCCCGCTGCTGCCGGCAGAGCCTGACATCGGAGAGGCTGATGGTGCCCGCTGCCGGCACAGCCTGCCATCGGAGTGGCTGATGGTGCCCGCTGCCGGCAGAGGTTGCCATCGGAGAGGCTGATGGTGCCCGCTGCCGGCACAGCCTGCCATCGGAGTGGCTGATGGTGCCCGCTGCTGCCGGTAGAGCCTGACATTGGAGTGGCTGATGGTGCCCGCTGCTGCCGGCAGAGCCTGACATCGGAGTGGCTGATGGTGCCCGCTGCTGCCGGTAGAGCCTGACATCGGAGTGGCTGATGGTGCCCGCTGCCGGCAGAGGTTGCCATCGGAGAGGCTGATGGTGCCCGCTGCCGGCACAGCCTGACATCGGAGAGGCTGATGGTGGCTGCTGCCGGCCGAGGCCACTTATTGGCAGATAAACTACTCCGTTCCATCAAGTAAATGTGACCTTATAAAAGTTTTAATGCAGTTTATTAAGCAATAACATCACAATAAATAAAAAAAAACCATAAAGAGTACATTTTAATACAGGTTATTAAGTGATAAAATCACTATATATATATATATATAAAACAATCTAGTTAGAAGTACTATAAAAAAGGCATTTTCCCGAAAAACGTCAAGAAAAATACCCAAAAAATAATTAAATACCAAAGAACAGCAATCAAAAAACTACATGACAAAATAATTCACTGGCTCCGGCCAGTAATACGCCGTGCTATTTGTCGGCGAGCCACCGGAACTGCTGCAACGAGCCACGACGAGCCGGCGAGCCATCGGAACTGTCACCGCTAAACAAACAAACACTGATGATCTGCAATAGTTAGACTACAGACCAAAGAACAACAAGGCACAGAAACCTTTATTGCAAGTGACAGCAGAAATATCTATATATATATATATATTTATATATATATATATGGTAAAACATCAGAGTTAAAATATCAGGTATATATTTATCTATTTATGTTTCTTTACCTACACTATACGTTTTCTCACAACAAAGATCATTTAAATCTAGTTTAGGTATTTCTCAGCATATAATTCCCTAAATGTAATTTTAATCTCTGAAAATAATTGCCCTTGTTTCTTTATGCGGTTATAATGATTCCTACAGCTCCAATTCAGCAATTCAGGGTCATAAAATCTAACAGTAAAAAGCCAATGCAAAAGCAGCATTTGAAATTCGACACTAGAGGGCAGTCTCTTACCTATTGGTGCTGATGCTACAAATTGTTCTGAGGAGCCCACCACTCACACAAAATGTGCTTCGCTGACATAATGGCAAGTACTTACAGTGAAAAGCTAAAGGTAAAATTGCTTGATGATCTTGGTATAGGCCTGAGTAATACTAATATGACTAAATATTTTGAATTTTATGTGCTTTGAATCATGTATTTTTTCTTTTCTGAAAGAAATGTTTATTACACGTAAATGCAGTTTGATACCTCAAGCATCAGAGGTATCAAAAATTAGCTTTTTTGGTAAGTGAGAAATACTAGATGTACGATTTCATGTCGGATTAATTCTGTCTTGCTGACCTTTGAGTATTATTTCAGCTTATGGTAACAAATGCTGATGATCCAAAATGTATAACTATTTGTCTGGGGTGTCCACAAACTGTTTCTTTTGAATTGTCAAAAAATTTTAAGTGCATGTAGGTATTCTGACAAATAAAACAGTGAGAGTCAACCTGAGTTTCTGTGAATTATGAAATGTATTTTCCAGAAAGTTCACATTTCTCCACAGTCGCTGCAGGTCCACAGATCTACAGCAGCCCGTTTATCTTCTGTTTGAGTTCTGTTTGTTTTAATAAACGTTTTGAACTTCCCTGCTGCCTGTCTCACCTTGAATACTGGGTCAATATGTCATGATTTCATGACAGAAACAGGACTCCTGCTTTTTAGTGTGACATCATTTGACATCGTTAAGATCTCAGGAGTTTTCTCGCCTCAATCACAACACTGTGTCTTAATAGATTTGTTTAGATTTTTACATTCTCTAAATCTCTGCATTTGCTGCTGTATTTAAACATTTGAATGACAACACAATCTGAAATGTTTTCTTTCTGATTATTTTGGCATTTAGTAAATATGAAAAATTTTGGTAATAAAGCAGGAAAAGTTTAGATTTATCAAATAGTCATTAGAAAAGCATTATTTTGTCTTTTAACACAGTTCATTTAAATATCTGGTTTTAGCTGCAGATGTTGCTGTCTAAATACGAAGGGAGTGGCATGTTTTCTTCACTGCATTGATGAAAACAGGTTAGTTTATACAGACCAGCATAAATCAGGCTCTCCTATCTTCCGCCTTTTGCCTCCTAATCTCATTTAGTCATTCACTGCTGATGTTCTTTCCACTATCAGCGTTGTATAATGAAGAGTCATTTCTGCCGCTAAGTCTAATCTGGAAGCAACGCCCTCGATATAAATAGAAAAAAAAATAAATCATATAAAAAATGGTTGGGTTCCACTTTGCTAAGCTTTTTGTTTGAATGTTAAATTAGAGGTTAAAATGAATTCAATAAGGCTATTGGTTTCTGCTGCAGAGAAACTATAAAAAGACTACTGAAGGACAAAAACCACAGAATGTGCAATGTAAACATAATTTAGGAATGGTTTTGTCTCATTTAGAATTAAGGTTTTGGTTAACATAACTACATATATCTCCCATTTAAAAGATCCTCAAGTTTAACAACTTTTCTGCTTTTAATAATAATAATAATAAAACATTTTATTTGAAAGCGCCTTATCAAAAACCCCAAGGACACTGTACAGGCAGATAAAACATTAAAAACAGGAAGCTAAAAAGTACAAGCATGTACATAATCTATAAATGTTTCCTTTGGTTAAGATTGGAAAGGGCATTGCTGAAGCTTAACTCATCCATTCCTTCTTTATACATTTGTTATAAGCATCTGAATATAAATCTTTTACCCGTGGATTAAAGACTCGCTGCTAATAAAAAAGCCTACATTTTGCTTTTGAAATGTACAGAAGTTTTTTTTCTATTTTAAAATATTCAAATAATCAAGAGGTAGTTTTATTAAGTGACTCTGAGAAATCTAGAGATTTCAAAATAGCAATATCTAAAACACATAACAAATGACAAGAAACTTAAGAAATATGTTTATAATGAAAAGGTGAACGCTGACTCCTCCAGTTCATAGCTCAGCATCGGTAGCCCTTCATATTACTCAGTACCTATGAAGTAGCTCCAAGCCTTAAAAAGGTTTGTGACCCCTGGTTTAGCATTTTCTGCATCATGGTAATGTGAAACAGCTTCTGTTGTTGAAATTTGATTGCAAAGTTCAAGCAAAAAAATCAACTGAGACACTTGGATATGGGTTGAATAGGAAGATAACCAACCAATTTGAGGGTGACCTTCCTGGCAGCTGTATGCACACATAGCCCTGCCAACAGCGTCAGAGACGGGAGGATTTGTGGTTCTTTTATAAATATTACCCTTGTCAAGTTTGTCTTTCTGCATGTGATAATATATGACATTTATTATTTCAATTATTTTATTCACTTCCTTTTTTTAAAATATCACGTCTGTCATAATAAAAGCTTCTGAATGGTACTGTTTGAACTGCACCTGCTGGGTCCATGTTTTTTCATCAATAATAAAAACAAATGAATTGTCATACATCTGTCGTCCCTTAGTAGGTCAAACACAACAGAAACAGTTAACACATGCATACACTAAAGAGATTAATTACACAGCAGGTAAAAGAAGAAGAGATAAAAAGTTTGGTGCTTATTTCATTTTTCCTGTTCCGTTGCACTCCTATTCTAAACTAAAACTTTCCCTGTCTGAGATTGATAAAGCTACAGCTTATCTGTGGCAATTTTCCAACATCGCTACATGCTGGGGTATATGACAGGAGGAGAGAGATGTGTAAGTCAATGACTAGATGCCATCTGCTGGGTATCCTTAGATAGAACACTTTTTAATCAGTCTGTCTGTATGATCTGAACTGACTGTAAAAAGCCATGACATGACATGTGTGGTAAATTGGCCCTGCATAAATAAACTGATTAGATTTGATCTTATCTTATCTTGTGTATACATAAAGGTGCACTGCATAACAAAGTAACTAGTAAAGAGAATTGCGTATCTAGCAGTACAGCAGGCATGTAAATACATACAGTGCGTGTACATATTTGCGACAGGATATCAGTCTAGCAGTGAACAAAAGAGGTAACACCTCCCTCCTCTTTCATTTCCAACCTTTATTTGGGACCGTAGTTTATGAACAAAAACACTTGAGTTTAGGTTTCAGGGAAACAGACAATTTGACTTAAAAAAATCTTAGAGATATCAACCTGTATTCTTAGATTTTTTTTCAAAACTTCCTTCTGATAATATTGTTACACATTTCTCTATTTGTTAAGTTTCTGTTTCTTTACCTAATTAGTGAAACAGATTAGTGCTTACTAAAGCTTAATCTTTGATTCTATCACAAATCCTATCCAATCTAGCTACTTAATCCTAATTGAATTGTCAATTTGTTTATTCTAAGAACCGATCCACTATATATTTCTATTATACATTCCTCTAATTCCTTTCTATATGCCGTTAGGGCTATCTGACAAAGGGAATTTATCCTTTAGATGGATTTTTGATAGCTTTTTAGTCATTTATTTAACAACACTTATATGATTGTTGATACTTTAATAATAGCAGGCTGCTACAGTTAATGATCAACCATTTATGGGTTTCCTATCGTTTGCACAGAAGGCGGAGCCTGAAACAAAGGTTAGGGACAATGAACCATGCTGTTGTTTTTCCTCTGTACTTCAGCAGAGCTCACAGCAATGAAAATAAGCCTAGTTCCAGGTTTTTCATCAATAATCGTTCAGGTAAGATTTGTTTTTTGTTTTTTTTTTAGAAAATATGAACGCATACTACAGTACAAGGAGTTTTAAAGTTTGTCCTTATGAAGTGGTTCAGATAATAGTAATTAATTTGCTCAATTTCCAGTCAAGAGGTTCGAAATAAATTGAAACTTAAACTGATTCTACACTTCAATAGAAAAATAGAAAAGGGTTAACATTTATGCGACAGGTTTATGGCTTTTTTTAAGTAGCCTCTATATTTAATGATTTATGATTTATCTAAAAATGAGGGAAACTGACAAAATCAACATGACACTTGTGGATTATATCAAATAGATGACATTAGAGGGTTGAATATAAATTTGCAAGTAAATTCGGCTGTTACATCTTAGTGTATTAAAAGGAAAATGGCAATGTGGTGTTAATCATAACGTTAATAAGTTAGGGTCTTCTCACAAAAATGAGTACTGGTTTTTTCACAAAAATGAGTACTGGTATATCTGATTCATCTTGCAAAAAAAACCAGCTGGGTTAATTGGCAGCTCGTGTCCTGTTCATATAATATGATTAGTTAGAAGTCAAACCTAATGACTAGTTACTGTAGGATGGATGTTTGCATGGTAAGTGCATTGTTTTCTAGGCAAGCAAAGTTTAAAACAGCGATCCTGTACAAATCTTTAAATGTTCTCTTCTGTCAAAAAATGAAATCAGCAAAAAGGATTTAAGCAAAAATCTAGATATTTTCTTAATGTCTCAGGAGCATGATTTGACCCTGTGGCTGACACTTCAGCATAATTCATTTATCTGACCAAGTAATTCAGTTGTGTCCTCGTAAACTGCTGTGTCAATGATGTAATTATAATTTCTTCTTCCCCTGCAGGGGCAGATGATTTTCATCTGATAAACACACATCCGGAACTCACAGATCTGATTTCCTCAAAATCAGCAAGTAGAAGCACCTTAGCTTTTGAAGAACAAGTTTAACCTCAACTAAGTGAGTTTTTCATTTTGAGAAGATGTCTGATCTTGATTTAAAGAGGATCGAGATCTTCTTCAACCTCCTGAATGGTTGCAGTGTGGGTGCAGTTTGCAACAACTCTCTGCTGTCCTTTCACAACTTAAATGAAAGTAGACTGGACAGTCCGGATGATGGGGCGCCTTGGCTGACAGTATTCATCTCTGTGGTTTACTTTATTGTGGCTACAGCTGGAGTTTTAGGCAACTTGCTGGTCATGTTTCTACTTTATTCCACTCACACAATCACCACAGGGACCATCAACTTCTTTGTTTTCAACCTCGCCTTAGCCGACCTGCTTTTTTCTCTTGCTTTACCATTTTGGGCAGTTGACATTGCACTGGACTACAGCTGGCCTTTTGGCTTGGCCACCTGCAAAGCTGTGTCCTTACTGACCGGACTGAACGTATTTGCCAGTTGTTTTTTTCTGACAGCTATGAGTCTGACTCGCTACTGCTATGTGGCCACGGCTCTCAAACCTGGATCCTCCCTGTGCAACAGATCTTGTACTTTCCCAGTGACAACAGCTATCATCTGGGTGGGAGCGCTCATTGTGGCCATGCCCCGGGCTGTGTTTGCAGATGTCAGGCGTGTGGGCAGTGGCAATGACTCTGCATGCTTGCTCCGTTTCCCTGAAGGCACTGCCTGGCTTGGAATTAATCAACTGATGAGAGTAGTTCTTGGATTTCTGCTACCCTACACCATCATCACCCTCTCCTACTTGCTCCTGGTCCGATTCCTCTGCCGGCATAAACTTAAAGGCAGCAGCAGCACTCGGCGAAAAGCTGATATCTCAAAGTCTGTGGCTGTGGTGGTTATGTCCTTTTGTGCCTGCTGGTTTCCCTACAACGTCCTCACTCTCTGGAGCATTCTGATACAGCTTGACATCATTGATATTAGCAAATCCTACTACTCAGCTCAGACATACTTCTTCCCTCTGGCCAATTGTTTGGCTTTCACCAGCAGCTGTTTCAACCCTGTCATCTACTGCCTGGTCAGGAAGGAATACCGCACAGCTTTGCGTAATATTTTCTTCAAGCTGAGTCTTGCCATTATGTCCAAGATGCCCTATGCGCTTAACTCTGAGGAGGTTTTGGGGCAAGGTGGTCAGCTTGGAATTCCTCTTAGCAACGTCTACAGCCAGACATGCCAAACTGATTCAAAGGGCTACGCACCTCTCACAGCACTTCCAGCTGGAACATCACCGCTGTAAAACCTCAACAGAGGTTCTTTATAAAATACCTGCATCAAACAGTAAGAGGAGATAGTTCTGAGTTCGTTATGGGTATGAGTAGATAGTTTATTACTCTTACTAGCAGCAGTTTCACACCACCTCAAACATCCTGCAGTTTTATGATCTCTGAAAGCTGTAGGTTACTCACCACTCATAAAGTCTAAGATAGTTTTCAGGCACAAAATTGGTTGATCTTTAAAAAAAAAAACATGTTGCTTCTGCCTTTGATTTAGTTATTGTTCAGAGATAAATTAATACAAATTTTAATTTCTGAGATTAGTTAATAAGGCCACTGAGCAGACAAATACATACATGTTACTGATTTCGGTCACGAAACCAAAATACAGCAAAACTTTCGTGTGATATCTGTGTTATTCCCGGGTATCACAAAGCGGAAACTTAAAGTAATTATGTCCAACCATGTAAAGCCCCTGCATAGATTTTCATTATAGAATAGTTATTGTCTGTTACCTTTTCATTGTGTTAATTCTGTCCTAAGCACATTGCCGCTATTTTGCAATGAGAAAAAAGCACATAATTGTGGCATTGAAGCTTAAACAGCTCTTCTTGCTTTCCAAGTAAGAAATACACTGTAAATGAATATGCTACTAAAAAAACAAAGGAAACACATTAACAACAATATAAGTGCAAATACATCAAACCTCAGTGAAATCAAACTGTCGACTTAGGAAGCAACACTGATTGACTATCAACTTCACATGATGTTGTGCCAGAAGAATCAAAAAAAGATGGAAATTTTGGGCAATTGGCAAAACACACCCAATAAAGAAGTGGTTCCGCAGGTGGGGACCACAGACTACTTCTCTGTACCAATGCTTTCTAGCTGATATTTTGGTGAGTTTTGAATGTTGGTGGTGCTATTATACTCATGGTAGCATGAGATGGACTCTACAACCCACACAAGTAGCTCAGGTAGTGTAGCACATCCAGGGTGACACATCAAAGTGAGCTGTGGCAAGAAGGTTTGCTGTGTCTATCAGTGTAGTATCCAGAGGTCGAGCACTACCAGGAGACAGCCCAGTAAACCATCAGACATGGAGGAGGCCATAGCAGGGCAACAGCACAGCAGTAGGACCGTTACCTCAGACATTGTGCAAGGAGCAACAGGAGGAGCACTAACGGAACCCTACAAAATGAACTCCAGCAGGCAACAAATGTGCAACGGTCTGCACAAAAGGTTGAAAACCAACTCCAGGAGGATGGTGTTAGGGTCCAACGTCCACAGATGGGGGTTGTGCTCACAGCCTGACACCGTGAAGGATTCTTGGCATTTGCCAAAACCACCAGGATTGGAAAATTTGCAACTGGCGCTCTGTGCTCTTCACAGATGTAAACAGGTTCACATTGAGCACATGTGACAGACGTGACAGACTGTAGAGCAATCTGCTGCATGCAGCATTCTTCAGCATGACCGGTTTGGCAGTGCGTCAGAAATGGTGGGGTGGAATTTCTTTGGAAGACCGCACAGCCCTTTATATACTCACCAGAGGTATCGTGACTACCATTAGGTATCGAGATGAGACCTTTAGACCACTTGTGGGATCATATGCTGGTGTGGTTGGCCCTTGGTTTCTCCTAATGCAGGATAATGGTGTACCTCTTGTAGCTGGAGTGTGGTCAGCAGTTCCTCTAAGATGAAAGCATTGAAGCCATGGATTGGTCTGCTTGGTTCCCCAGACCTGTATCTGACTGAGCACATCTGGGACATCATGTCTCGATCCATCCACCAACGTCACGTTTCACCACAGACTGTCCAGGAGTTGGCGGATGCTTTAGGAGATCCTTAAGGGGACCATGCTAACCAATAAAAACAATGCTTTGCTGTATTTAATGTATTAAAACACCCATTTAACTGTTTGTGGTACTACATTAGTAAGCTAAAAACAAATAGAAAATAAAACTCAATATGGGATACAGTTAGGCTGTTTGAACTTGAAATTCACAGTATTAACACAAAACCCAATACTATATTTGTACAGAAAGTGATACAAATAAAACCACAAAAAGCCAGTGGAATTGTAATAGGTGTTGTATAACCTATGACATGCTAATGAGTGACAATGTAATACGCCACAGGAGTAAAGAAGAGAGAAGAGCAGGGTGTTAATAATTGCAGGAAAGAGGGAAAAACGTGATTGTGTGGAGTGCCTTACTTCAGTCCACACAAACACTAAGGGGGATCAAAATGTTTTGCTGTGCAATCCACAGTGAGTGGAATAGCTACTGAAAATCAACAGCAGCTACAGCTACTCAGATAGCTCAAACAGGATTTTTATAATAAACAACTCTTGAATCCTGTGTAAATCACTAACAACAAACTGCAGTTGTTTTACAGATCCTACAAGATATTTAGCTATCCTTTCGATTTTTTTTCTAAAAAGAAAAATATCTAGATATGGACATCACAAAATAGCTTAGGCAGATGAATACAACCCCAGAATTATGTATCATACATTTTCCTCTAATGATAATTCCATTCTATATGAGAAGGTTGATTCTAGACCAGCAATTAAGCTTGTGTTGTTCTGCATAAAAAGATCTAGTATTTAGCATCTAAAAAAGTTGCATTTGCTAATAAATTACCTTCAGAGATTTTGCCCATTTACTCCAGTTCTTTCTGTTCTTCTTCTTTATTCATTGCATGGAAAAGAATAAATGACATACAGCAATTATCTTAACTTTTGTGAAAAGCATTACTATCGCCTTTAGTAGTTAACTTCTGGTTAAACTGTGGTTGTCCTATTTTTATGTGTTATGTAAAAAATTATTTTTTATTTTGTTGCATGGAAATCCAAAAATAAACCTTGTAAAACTCTTGTTATGTGTTTCTTCTTTATATTTTGAGCCATTAACTTTTAATCCTGGTAACAAAAAACTATTCAAATGTTATCCTGGAAAATAATAATACTTACATTGCAAAATGGCAGAGCTAAATAAAATATTAATTACTGAACTTTATGTTTAGTCTGGTAATAAGTCCCCTTGAGTTTCATACCGAGACTTATTTTCAAACAAATATTGTAGAAAGATTCTCTAGCTATTATTTATGTTCTGTTTTACATCCCAAGGCCGTGGTGATATTCCTTTCTTAGTCATTGATTTTGCAGGTCACTATATTGTTTTATCTCTGTGACGTTGTATTGTCTGGTTTGCATTCTTGTTTTTGATACATTATGGAGCCCATGTTCTATAAATCATAGCACAATGTTGGAGCTGACTGCTCATCTTGGCCTTATCCCCATGGGTACAATTTCTGTTTTCTGGTTTAGGTATTAAGTTTAGGACTAAGGTGTGAATGGAGTTTAGGTTCGGGTTAGGTATGAACCTGTAATGGTTAGGGTAAGAAAAGGTAAGGCAAGGTGAATTTTTGATTTCATTATTTTTAATTTTATGTATAATATTTTTGTTGCAAAATTCAGTACAAGGACAATTCAAAGTGCTATGAATTACACAATAAAATAGAAGAAAGATTAAAGCTGAATCAAGGCAAATAAAAATTAAAAAACGTGATAAAAGCTGGTAGTAAAGCAAATAAATCTGTTGGACCACAATGTTAAACTAATTATACCCCAGTTAACAGTTTAACTTCAACAGTTTAAAGGCAGTTTTAAACAAGTCATTTTTTAACTTTGACATAGAAGAACTCAGTTTTTCAGCATGATGGTTCCAAATCAGTGGAGCATAGGAACTAAATGCCACTTCTGCATGTTTGGCTCTAGTTTTGGGTTAACAGAGTAGGCTGGAACTAGAAGACCAGGGTGGTCTGGGAGGTTGATACACTGACAACAAATCTATTATGAATTGAGTTGCTGATCCATTCAGTGATTTATAGCCTAACAGAAGGACTTTAGGGTATATTCTCTGAGCTACGGGGAGCCAGTGGAAGGACTTCAGAACTGAGCTCATGTATTCTACTTTTATATTTCTAGTGAGAACACAGGCAGCAGCGTTTTGGATCAGCTGCAGCTGTCTGATGGACTTTTTAGTTAAACCTATGAAGACACTGTTGCAGTGTTTGAATCTTCTAAAGATAACTACATTAAGGAGTTTTTCTAGATCCCGCTTGGACATTAGTCCTTAAATCCTGGAAATTTTCTTTTTTTTAAGGTTAAATTTGGTCTATTTTGTCACAAAAGTTGTGGCATTTTATCTTTTAATCCAATTCAAAACATATTGACGAAAACTCTAGTGGGACTATTATTAAAAGTATTCACAGTAACATTCAGCGGTTTGAAAAAACAAACAAACAAACAAAACATTGGCGTCCAGTACTGTAAGTATGATTTGAAAAAAACTTGAAACAATCAGGAAGGATATTTATTTTTGTATATCATGGTCATAAAAAAAAAAAAAACTTCTCTTAGTCTGTCATATAATTCAGTAATTTTTGGGATCACGTGAGTATTTTTTAATTTAAGTAAAGTAAAGTAAAATAAAGTACAACTTACAAAGTACAATTCTGGAACAGGGATTCCAGAATTTAGATTTCTGGAACAAACATCTTACAGCTTTTAGATGCATCACTTTTTCATTGCCCCTAAATCTAAAATAAATGCCTATGCATTGGTATATGTTATGCTGGTAAGATAATTCAGCCAAATGATGATTTGCTGAAGCATGATCGAATTTCTGGAGGAATGATACCATGAGGTATTCATTTTTTACCAGTAGGGGGCAGAAAAGCTTTAAAAATTCTGAGTGCTTTCAGCCATTTTCTTTGCTTTCTGTGCTTAATCACTTTCGTTATTTTCAATTATATTTTTACTTTATTTCACATCACTGTTATTTATAATCAAGTTTTATGCTGAGTTTGTTGCTGTTTGTCAAAGGTTGTGATGAAAATGTAGTGTTAATTTTATGCTGGTGCTGAAAATAATTGATTTACCAAGGTTTTTTTTTTTATTATTATTATTTATCTTTTTTTTATACAGGTGCTGTCATGGTGTTTCAGGTAAAAAAAAATATTATCTTTGGATAATGCAAAAGTATATAGCAGAAGGTTGTCCACATTTCAGAAAATGTCCAGACAGTACTAACCTTTAAAATACAATTGTAAACCAGTGTCAAAGTAAACTTTGTGCAGAATTATTAGGCAAATTAGTATTTCGAGCACATCATCCTTTTTATACATATTGTCCTATATAGCTGTATAGGCTTGAAAGCTAACTACCAATTAAGTAAATCAGGTGGCGTGCATCTCTGTAATGAGAAGGGGTGTGGCCTAATCACATCAACACCCTACATAAATTGTGCTTAATTATTAGGCAACTTCCTTTCCTTTGGCAAAATGGGACAGAAAAGAGATTTAACGGACTCTAAAAAAAATCAAAAATTGTCAGATGTCTTTCAGAGGGATCAGCAGTTTGGAAATTGCCAAGTTTTTGAAGCGGGATGATTGCACAATCAGGGGTGCAAGAAGCGTGCTGAAAAAAGAAGAATCAAAATAACTCCCCATGAATTGAGAAGGATCAAGCGTGAAGCTGCCAGGTCGCCATTAGCCACCAGTTGTGCCATATTTCAGAGCTGCAACATGTCGGGAGTGCAGAGAAACACAAGGTGCACAATACTCAGGGACCTGGCCAAGGTAAAGAAAGCCGAAAAAAAAGGCCACCTAGAACAAGACACACAAGACAAGACATCAAGATTGAGCCAAGAAACATCTGAAGACTGATTTCTCCAAGATGTTTTGGTCTGATGAAATGAGAGTGCGTCTTGATGGACCAGATGGATGGACACCAGGCTAGATCAGTAAAGGGCAGGAAGTTCCTTATTGACTCAGACTCCAGTAAGGTGGAGGTGGGGTACTGGTATGGGCTGGTATCATCAAAGTGGGACCTTTTCGGGTTGATGATGAAGTCAAGATCGACTCCCAGACCTACTGCCAGTTTCTGGAAAACACCTTCTTCAAACAGTGGTACAAGAAGAAGATGCCATTGTTTAAGAAAAACATATTAATGTAGGACAATGCTCCATCACACGCATCAAAATACACCACAGCGTGGCTGCCAGAAAAAGTCTAAAAGGAGAAAAAAAAATGACATGGCCCCCTTGTTCACCTGTTCTGAATGCCATCGAGAACCTGTGGTCCTTCATGAAATATGAGATCTACAGGGAGGGAAAACAGCCACCTATCTGAACAGTGTCTGGGAAGCTGGGGTGGCTGCTGCACGCAATGTGGATCGCAAACAGATCAAGACTCTGACAGAAACTATGGATGGAAGGCTTTTGAGCGTCATGATGACGAAAGACTGCTACACTGATTTGTTTTCTGTTTTCTTTTTGAGCGTCGCAAATGTTTATTTCTGAATTTTGAGTTCTTATATTCATTTACCTGGTCAAAATAAATGAGATGGGTATATATTTGTTTTTTATTATGTTGCCTTATGATTCTGCACAGTAATATTTACCTGCAAGCACAGACATCCTCATAAAATGGCCAAATCTTAAAAAAACACATCTACTTCCAAAAATAGGAAACTTTGATATTAAGAAGTCTTTTGGGTTGATTGAAAACACAGTTTTGGCCCAATAATAAAGATAATCCTTAAAAATACAACTTGTCTAATAATTCTGCACAGTGTATACACTGCAAAAATGTTCTGAAAATGAGTAAAAATGTCTATAAAATAATTTGTTACCCTTAAGTTGAGAAGAAAAATAAGATGACCTGCCAATGGAAGGATCATTTTCAACCATAAAATAAGATACTTAGAGATTATGCAATTGAAATAAGAGCCTGCAGTTGTTTTTGTCTTATTTTAAATGAAAATTCATAAAACAGTTTAAAAATGAAATTATATTTAAAAAATCAGCAGCATCGTTAGCTATAAAAATGCATTTATGCTTTCCTTTCTCTTTAAGTTAAACTGTATACATTTTGTCCTGATATGCATAATCTATCAAAGGAGGGTAATTGCTTCAAGAAGAGTAATAAGAGCTGAGAAATTGTTCCGCCTTCATCCGCCTGCAGCCTGGCAGCGACCTGGCTAGTGTTCCTCCTTTGTCTCCATACAGCTCTCTGATGGGGAACAGCTGACATCTCATTAATCCTTCAGCTACTGAGATGATGTGATTGAATGCTAAGCCACGTTTGGATGACTGACTCGTGCTGGCTCTGATTAGCTGCAATGTGGAACGAAGCTGTGTGCAGTTGGTGGTGGTTCATCATTTTTTTATTTATTACACTGCTAGGAGCTGTTGAAGCTTCTAGCAAGGAATTACTGGAAGTTGTTGCTCCTCTACAGTTTATTGACTCTAAAATCAAATTAGTTGGCCTTACATAAAAGCCAAAGAAAGCAAATATAACTACTAGTGTTTTTGTTTTAGTCACTTAAGATATATATGTTCAGTGCACTGAAGACTTTCTTTAATTAACATTTTTTCGTGAAGTTAAATTAAATTAGTATGGTGATGTACTTGTAATTTAGAATAAGAGAGAAAACCATCAACTTTCAGGGAGCTTTTTTTTTTCTTTCTTTTTTTGCATCCCCAAATGCTCTGTTGGGTGCGTTTTGGCGCGGAAATTATGACATTACTAATCTAGTATACTTTTTTTTTTTTTATTATTAAAAAAAATATAATTTAAGAATCCAAAACTACACTAATCTCAATCTGGGAAAAATGATGATAGCAAAGGAAACTATTAATGTATAATTAAATAACTGGCAGTAAGAGTAACAGCAAATTCACTTACCGTATGTTATTGTCTGGCAATTAGGTCACACTGATCCAATTTTGAATACTTTATTTTGAGTTATCAAGCATTTTTATTAAAGCACTTATTAACAGACTCATCAACTCACTTATTTAAGCTGAGT